AGCTTTCGAGACATCAAATAATGTCTGAATTCTAGGCCACCTTCTTGCTTAGACAAACACATTATTCTCCCAAGATACCCAATGCTTCATTATATCTTCGTTCTTGTTATTCCAAAAGAATCTAACAAATAATTTGTGAAGGTCATGAATAACTCACTTGGGTGGGTTTATAGCTGAAAGGGAATGAATTGGCATACTTAGAACTACATTTGCAATTTGCACAGTCTTACCTCCATAAGAAATAATTTTTCCTTTCCAAACTTAAGCTTATTCCTTACCTTTTTTAAAATATCATTATAGAAAGATCTCCTTTTTCTAGCATGAGAGATGTACACCCAAGATATAATAAAGGAAATTGACCTCTATTGAATCCGGTGATCTGTGAGACTTGATTAATTACATTGCCTGAGACCTTGTTGTACATGTAGAAAAAACTTTTCTCTTTATTGATTGTCTGACCAGATATCCCTTCATACTCATTTAAGGTATTCATCACTAAATTTAGAGAATACTCATCAGCATACACAAATATTATGGTGACATCAACATATGGTAAGTGGTTGAGGTCAGAACTCCACTTTGGCATTCCAAATCCTCTAATGGTTGTATCTTCAAATAAGACATTCAAACACTTAGATAACAATTCTGCTGATAAGATAAATAAAGCAGGGGGACAGAGGGTCACTTTGCTTTACTCCTTTGGTTGAATGAAAAAAATCTTATAATTGTCCATTCAGAAGGATAGAGTACCAATTATCAGACAACAACCTCCAGATTTTATCTAGAAATACTCCCAAAAATTCAAATGAGGAATTGTCATGGCACTCTATCATAAGTTTTTGTCAAATCTAGCTTTATAGCTACATTGGCAGGCATACCCTTTTTTCTAATACCAGTGATAATCTCTTGAGCCAATAGCACATTCTCTATGATATTTCTGTCTTTCACAAAATCAGACTGATTCTTAGAAATTAGTAATGGCAGAATAGCTTCAAGTCTATCATGCATGATTCTAGAAATGACCCTATTCAAGAAATTACTGAGGCTAATGGGTCTCATTTTAGAAACTTATTCTCTACCTCTTTTTTGTTTTATAACAATACAAGATTAGTGTGAGTTATTGACTTAGGAAAAGTGTGACTATCATAGAATGCTTTTACCACTTTGATAACATCATACCCTACAAAATCCTAGCACATTTGGTAAAACCTTCATGAGAGATCATCTGGGCCACTGCTCTATCTCCATCCAGCTCAAAAATTGATTTCTTACTTCCATTTCAGTGGGCATGGCATTTAGAAGAATATTATCTTCTTGTGTTACCGTGTCTGGAATGTTTCTAAACATAGGAGCCTCCACAAAATTCTCCTCTCGGGAGAATTGATTTTGGTAATAGTTAATTGCTTCTATTGCTAACTGATCTTCTTCGAGTCATTCCCCTTATGATTTTTGAATCATTTTAATCTGCAATTTCTTTCTTCTGCCATTAACCAGGTTATGAAAAAACCTTGTATTCTGAACCATCTACTCCTCGCATTTTGCATCCAAAACTCTTCCTCGTAATGTAAGTATTTCTTTATTTTTGCTTGAGCATGTTGTAACACTGTTATATTCTCTTCGGTTGGGACTTCTTCAAATAATTCCTCCGTAATTATGACGCTTACACCTAATTATTTTAATTTTTTGTTCATTAATTAGGTAATTTAGATACCAAGGTAATACCCATAATTACGATCTGACCCATCTAATATCATTATTTTAAGGCTTAAGTCATCGATAGCCACTTAAAGTTGTCTGCATATTTCACTTGAACACCTCAACTAAGACTTGTACCTATTGAACAGCTAGACAGCAAGAAATTTGTACCTATTAAACCCTTTTTGCTGACATGGCAAAGTGTTTGTAGTACACACAAAGAGAGGAGCGTGAAAGCATAATTTTTTAGCAAAAAAAAAAGAAAAGATTTTATATCTTCTTCATCTTTGAGAAAGCTCCCATCACCATTTTTCCATTGCAAGTTGCAGCCATCACCACTCACAATACTTTCTCCTTCCTTTTCGATTTTCAGCCATTCTCTTTCTCCAATACACCAGCTTACCAAATCGGTTGTTACCATCCACAAGTCTACCATCGTCAAACGACCTTAGCCTTACAAATAGCCAACCACACATTCAAATCGGCCACCTTAAGTTTTTCGTTGGAAAAAATGGTATCTCTGCTGCCACCAAAAATATTTATCTCTTGTTCATCTCTTTTGTCAAATTAAACCCAAACATAAATTAAATATAAATCTTAAAATAAAAGAAATACAAAAAAAAAATGAAGTGGAGATTCCTTTTCATTGACACGGGATGTTAAGCAAATGTCATTACATAAAGACACAAAAAAAAAACAAGCAATCAGTGATCGATCGTCTTCTTACTTTAGTGTTCATTATTTCCAGCGAAACTCCATTTTTTCCGGCAAGAATAATACGAATTTGAAAATATTCTTTCACATTGTTAATGTATTCAAATTCTAAAAAACTCACAACACAAGAAGAAGAAAGAATATCAATAAATCTAAATTGATGTTTGAGGATAAGAGTAAGATTAAAGAATGACCGCGTATGGTGTTTTGGGGAAGGTTCTGGTGAAAGAGGAAAAGGGTAAGGATGGTTTTCTTTCTAAAAAATACTATAATTTTTCCTTATAATTTATTTTTATTAGTTATTCTAGGCCCAATACCATGTGTCTTCTTTTGATTAGTTACTATGCCACATCATTCGCGAGTGTATAACACACACTTTCTTACTTCAGCTGATTGTCTATAAAGTGTTCGATGGGTAAATTTTTTGATTAGTCAAGGTGTTCAATTGGAACAAGCCTAAGATAAGGTGTCTAAGTGAAATTTGCGTACAACTTTAAGTGGCTATCGATGACTTAAGCCTTATTTTAATTGATAATACATATTTTATGATTACTTAATCACTGATTACTAACTCTGTATGATAAAATTTCTTTTACGGAGAAGGGTCTAAAACACCCTTATAGTATCAGAATTGGTACAAAAATACCCCTCATTTTACCTTTTGGCCTCAAAATACCCTTGGGGTTAACCTTTAGGGACCTATTTTGTCCTTTTTGACTAACGGACTACTTAGTAAATATATTTAATTATTTCATTTATTACATGGCATGTTGTAATTAGTTGGAAATTTAATTAATTAAAAGCCTAAATTTGTTTTGACCCAAACACCCTATCCACCGACCCATCTTCAAAATACCCAACCCATCCAAATAAAACACCCATTACCCATTTCTTTAAACAAAACTCTAACATTTCCCCCCCAACTTCATCAGTTCTTGGATCTGCCGCGATGTTCAAGTAAAAAGTGAAGAAATCGATTTGCTACTCCGATAAAGTAAGAACTGAAGACTTACTCTTAATAATTTTCATAACTATTGTGTAATGATTGTTCGATTAAATGTATTTCGTAAATAGTTAGGGTTTAGTTTTATTCGATTTTTGATTGCGTTTGGTCTATTGTACTATAGTGTTGTGAAGTTTGTGTAGTGTTGACATTATACATTGTTTTATGATGTTAGGGCCTTTTATTGCTTTTACATGTTTTATAGATTGTTTTCTCGAGTTAGGTATGTGTATGACTTTATTGTTCCCAATTTGTGCACTTTTTTGTTTGTTTTAGTGTTGTATTCTATGTGAAGTTGAAATAAATAGTGTTAGTGGTCCCTATAACTTTACTACCTTTATCTTCAAATTAAATAATGTTAGTTTTCCTATAACTTGTTTTGTTTATGGCTGACAATTCCTTTTCACTTTTTTTGTCTGCCATGTGAAAATTTTGAAGAATGACCGAAAAAGTGGATTTAGTATTTAACTATGGGGGAAAGTGGGTCCTTTCTCCTCAAGTTGTATACATTAAAAAATTGAATGAAACCTGGCATGATTATGATGTGGATTTGTTGTCATATATTGACATTTGCTCAGAGTTCATTGAGAAATGTGAGTTTAGGGCTGTGAAACAAATGTTAGTAACAGTAACAGGGCCAACTGATAGAGATATTATTTGCTTTAGGATGATTCAAGCATTAGGACTCTACAATCTGCTATGTCTAGTCAGCTTAGTGTTCTTCAATTATTTGTTGTAGATGAGGGTGAAGCTACTGCTGTTATTCCTAATATTTGTGACCTGAACAAGCCTTACCCTGCTGTGCCAGTAGAGGTAGCAACTGATTGTGAATCAAATGAGGAGGATGAGGATCAGAATGAACCTATTCCTAGTGATTACAATAGTGATGAATTAGAAGTCTTTAAAAAGGAAAAAAAATAGAGAGATCAATGACAAGCTAGACAGATTCTTAGAGTTGGAAAAGGGCATGTGCTTTAAAGATATTAAAGAAGCTAAAAGAATTGTGAATTTTTACTCTATTGTTAGAAAGGTTGCACTTAAAGTTGAAAAAAGTGACTCTACAAGATTGAGATATTTGTGTGATACTGGTTGTCCATTTGAGTGTTTGATATCTAAAGATAGGAAAAATCAGGGATTCAAAATTAAAACCTTGAACACCAAACACTCATGTGGTGAAAATGCTTTTAAGAATAGAAGAGCCACTCAAGAAGCTTTAGGACACTACTTCAAGAAAAAACTTCAGAATAATTCAAAGTACAGTGTAAATGATATGAGACAAGATTTGGATGATAATTTTAATTTGAATGTTAGTTATTCCAAGATGAAGAAGGTTAAAAGGCTTGTGTTAGAGAAGTTGGAGGGTAGCTACATTGATGATTTCAATAAGTTGGAGGGTTATGCTCAAGAATTGAGGGACAGCAACCCTGGTACTGATGTTATCATAAATATATCTAGAGAGGCTTTGGAACAAGGAAAAACAAGATTCTTAAGAATGTATGTGTGCATTCAAGCTTTAAAAAATGGCTGGAAAGGAGGTTTGAGGCCTTTTATAGGGCTAGATGGGACTTTTTAAAAGAAAAATGCAAGGGAATCTTATTGGTTGCAATGGGACAAGATTCAGTGAAACATTTCTATCCACTTGCTTGGGCAGTGGTGGACAGAGAGACATCTAGAACATGGAAATGGTTTATTGAGTTACTGATAAATTCTCTAGACCTGGCAGATGGTGAAGGTGTAACATTCATGTCTGATATGCATAAGGTAGTTGTTTCTGATTTTAATAAGTTTCTGATTTTCAGTTTAATTCTTATACAAATAATACTTTAACTTGTTATGATTTTTATTGTTACAGGGGCTACTGGATGCTGTTAGTCAGGTATTTCCTAAAGCACATCATAGATGGTGTGCAAGGCACATAGAAGCTAATTGGAGCAAGGCTTGGAAAGGTGTACAGATGAAGAAGTTATTGTGGTGGTCTGCCTGGTGCACCTATGAAGAAGAATTTCATGATCAATTGAAAGTCATGGGTGATGTGTCTAAACAAGCTGCAAAGGATTTGATATGGTACCCTGCACAAAACTGGTGCAGGGCTTATTTTGACACAGTCTGCAAAAATCACTCATGTGAGAATAATTTTACAGAGTCATTCAACAAATGGATTCTAGAAGCAAGGGCAAAACCTATAATCAAGATGTTAGAAAATATTAGAATCAAGGTGAGTTGTTACTGCTTATATTATCATCTTTTATATTACCTTAATCTAACAGTTAGGTTCTATGTAGGTTAGATTAATGTGGGATAATAATGAAAATTAGAGTTTGGGTTGTTTACAGTTTGGTGATTTTGAGTTTTCAGCTCACAAAGTTGTAATTTTTCTTATTCTTTTCAAATTCTGCTGTTTTTTGTTGTGAACTATAGCCTTGTTTCTCTTTATTTGAATTCTCTTGGGTATTTACAAAACCAATTTATCAGGAACTGAATTTTACATTTGAGATTAAGGTCTTAAAGAGCAGTGTTCAATTCTCTGTAAATTTATTTTCATTGATAGATCTAGTATTTTAATAGGAATAGCAGAATATAGCTTGATGTGACTGTTATATTGATAGGTTATGTTGATCTTACTGTTGTATTGTTATATAGATTATGAATAGGTTGCAAAAACTTGAAGAAGAGGGTAGAAATTGGAAAGGAGATTTGAGTCCATATGCCATGGAATTGTATAATGATTTCAATATCATTGCACAATGTTGTCAAGTTTAATCTAATGGAGACCAAGGATATGAGGTAGTTGAGGGTGAAGATAGGCATGTGGTGAATCTTAATAGGAAGAAGTGTACATGTAGGACATGGGACTTGACTGGTATACCATGTCCTCATGCCATTAAAGCATATCTTCATGACAAACAAGAACCACTAGATCAGTTGAGTTGGTGGTATTCCAGAGAAGCTTACATGTTGGTATACATGCATAAAATATAACCTGTTAGAGGTGAGAAGTTCTGGAAAGTTGATCCTTCTCATGCTATGGTGCCACCAGAAATACATAAATTAGTAGGCAGGCCAAAACTTAAGAGAAAGAGAGAAAAGGATGAGGCAAGGAAAAGGGAGGGGTGTGGTCAGCTTCAAGAAAAGGACTAAAAATGACCTGGGGACATTGTAGTGCAACAGGTCACAACCAAAGAAGATGTCCTATGGCATGTAATTTTTTTTACTTGGTCAATATTTACACTAGTTAATTCAATATCTAACTAATTTTGTCATTTTTGTAGCTTCAAAGATCAAAACAACCAGCCCAAGATGTGCCAGTGTCAGCATCCAAAGCCAGCCAAGAAGAATCTGGTAGTGTCTTCATGCCTACTCCTGACTTTATTGTTTCTTCAAGTCAACAGAGTAGCCAACCTGCTGGTCCTTCAAAGTCAAAGAGAAAAATAGTTGCTGATGAATCTGAGTATGAGCAACATGTTGCACCTTCAAGTGTAGTTGCTGATGAGGATGGAGGTGAGCATGAAAGTGAAAACGAGCAGACAATTCTAAGGCCGAAGGCAATTTCTGAAGCTAGGACTAGGCTTCAAGCTAAAAAGATACAAATTCGATCAACTGGTACCAGGAGGATTGGCTTCAAAGGAGATGACAATGGTGTGAGCATTCCAACTAATCTGTCATACTCACCAAGAAAATTGGCATGGAAAGGAAAAAAAGCTATGACTTCAAATCAGTTGACAGTTGAAAAGGAGACAAGAATTGGCAAATTGAAGGCAAAGAAAGGAAAAGAAGCTACGACTTCAGATCAGTTGACAATTGAAAAGGAGAAAAGAATTGGCAAATTGAAGCAAAGAGTGGTGGGAAGAAGTAGTTGCATTATGAAGTTGTTTTTTGTTTTCCAGTGTTATGTAATGGCATGATGAAACTTAATATATTGACTTTTTTTATGTTACTCCATCTTGAACAAGTGTCTGTAAGTTTTTGTGGGTTGAAAATATATGACAATGTCATTACTACTTATCTATGTAGTTGTTGTTTTTTGTTTTCCAATTGCATTATGTATGTCTTGATGGTAGGCTTAACAGATCTTGTGAGTTGTGAATCCGCAGTGATATTTCTTTTGAACTAGAGTGAGTTGATAATTTCTAGTGTTGAGAGTGTTTCTTTAATTTTGGCTGTCTACTAAGTTGTACAGACGACGAAATGGCTGAGAGCATATTATATTGTTAACCTGCATTTGTGTAAAATTGAAAAGCAATCCATAATTTAGATGCTGTAAAAATTTGCAGATTGCTGTAAAAATACAAATTGCTAAATGGTAAAAATGCAGATTTTGTAAATGGTAAAAATGCAGATTGCTAACATTAACAAGATTGCTAACAACTTTTCCATTACAATCAAGAGATCAACAAGATTGCTAACAACTTTCAACAAGCAAAACACGATGACATTACATCAGTTGTAACATGGTGATTGCTAACATTACATCAAAATACTAATGACTACACCACACTACTAGAACAGAGCTACACCAAACTACTCACGACTACACATTACAAACAATCCAAGAAAAGAAGTTCAAACATAACTACAGTACACTACATCAACTTGGCAGCTACAAAACCAACAATAATACCCCAAGAGATCAGAAGCAAGCTTGTCAATTGAAGCCCTTTCAATTCCCACTTCAGTTTATTATCATCCAAGTTCTTCAAATTAGAACATTCAATATGATGTTCCAACTCCAAGTTTGAAACTTTATCCTCCAAATTTGAATTTTCAAAAAAAAATCATATCATTCAAATTAGAATCAATGTTTGGTTTATGAATTTCAATGCCACCCATTTCCTTTAGGATCTTCTTCAATCGGTTTCTTTCCTTCCGAATTGAATCTAATTCAATCTTTTGATTGTGAGTCATCAATGACACATGACTTGGAAGTTTACTATCGATCCAATCCAATAACCACAAGATAATGAGCCAGGACGACAACATTTGAAGAATCGACGTCCACCATTCTCACGGCTCATAGCAGTAAAATATTTTGATATCAATCCACACTTACATGTACGAGACTCAACTTGTTGAGGAGAAGAAACAGAAGAAGATGTCAACATTGAAACAACACAAAATTTAACAAATCTGATGAAGAAGATGATTTCCAAAAGAGCTCCAAGAACTAACTGATGAAGTTGGGGGGAAATGTTTAGGGTTTTGTTTAAAGAAATGGGTAATGGGTGTTTTATTTGGATGGGTTGGGTATTTTGAAGATGGGTCGGGTGGATCCGGGTGGATAGGGTGATTTGGGTCAAACAAATTAGGCATTAATTAATTAAATTTCCAACCAATTACAACATGCCACGTAATAAACGAAATAATTAAATATATTTACTAAGTAATCTGTTAGTCAAAAGGGTAAAATAGGTCCCTAAAGGTTAACCCCAAGGGTATTTTGAGGCCAAAAGTTAAACGAGGAGTATTTTTGTACCAATTCTGATACTATAAGGGTATTTTAAATTTTAATATTCAATAACTCTTGATTATATGTCCAAACAAATTTATATGTTTCAATCAATAATTAAGTAACCATTCAAGTTATATAGGATGTTTGTTTTATTTTTGTCAATTAATTTAGGTAATTTTAGACATTTCAGAATTTAGTGAAAAGGTAAGCTATTTTTAAAAAAAATATCTTTCGCACTACCAACAAATGAGGGCATAAAATCCAACTAATCAAATCAGTTAAAATCATTCTCGAGTTTGTTGCATTGAACAACGAAGATCTAAAAGGTAATTTTATAAGCTATTTATTAAACGTAAATTTAACTAAATTCATATATAGTTCATATATATCTATCTATCTACTTAAAAAAGCATGAACTCCCAAACTTAAATGTTGAATTACTATAATACCCCCAACTAAAAATACTCAATTTATTATATTTATTAATTTAATTATATTAAAAGTAGATACCTTTTCACATTAGAGGGTTGTGATTTTCTCAAAGAGTTGTGACTTTTCCAAAGGGTTGTTGACTTTTTTGACGGGTTATGACATTTTTGATGAGTTGTGATTTTTTCGAAGGGTTGTGAGTTTTCAAAGGGTTGTGACTTTTCCAAAGGGTTGTGACTTTTCTGATGAGCAATGACTTTTTCGAAAGGTTGTAACTTTTCTGATAAGGCACAATTAGCATCTACTGATACTACTATTTGTTAGCTATGTTGGAAAACAAATATTCATAGCGGAAGCATACCACTACTTACATGAATAATAGATAACCAATATTGTTTATGCTAGACCACATAATCATGCTAGAACACATAAACATACTGAAACTTAATTCGATAAATACCTCTTGAAGCATGAACAGATACCTTCAAGCGAATCCCCAAGTTAGACAGTCCTTCAAGTGAATCTACAAGATAGCCATGGTCTTCTACAGTGATCCCAAGTTCACATCTGAACTCTCTCAATACTAGGGTGGGCAAGTATCGAATAGAAAACTAAACAATCTAGGGCTAGAATAATCCCTAATTATAGAGATTTCTTCAAAGTCCAAAGAGGAGAACCAAACACACGTTATTTTTCTTCAACCGAAAAATACACGCTAGTTTTCTTTTTATAAGAAAACTAACGCCTCTCCCCTTTTCCCTTTAGAATTAGGATTCTGAGTTCTAGTTAAATATGGGCACTGGAGGGACCACATAATTAATTACTGAGGCTTCCTATTATGGAAATAATTCCAAATAATTAATTTGAATTATTCTTACCATAATAAATTACAAATCATTCCACTAGAAATTCGTAATTGCACTCCTCTATTTATATTTTGTAATTCCCCATTAAACACTTATGTAATTCCCCATGTTAAGATTTCAGATACTAATCAATAAATTAAATTACTGACGAATTTAACTTAATGATTAATTTCCTTTAGAGCACTACTTAACTTATTTCATGTGTCGGATTCATAAATCCACTTGCAAGGTTTGACACGATGAAAACTTATAAGTTTCTCAAAAAGGCATATCAATCAATCTCTATAACGAGACATGGATTCCATCAACTAACTTATTATTTCACCAATATATATTATTATCATCCAACTTACCAGGAATATTGACCCATCTCAGAATCTCACCTTTTAATAAA